TTTAATTTTCATTGTTTTGTGCTTTTGGTCATTATCTTATTCTGCCCTTAAATACAGTTTGGTGCTTGTCCCGTTTTTCATTTGAGGAGCTAAGCTTGTCATCCTGGACCCATGAAGTTGTATCTGTAATATGAATAGAACAGTAGCACTTCAAACACCAGCATGGATTTCAAACAGACCCTGTAAACTCATAAAATGTTAGAATTTAGGATCTTTCCAGTGACAGCCATGAGTGCCTTGTTTAATGTCAGGCTTCCAGAAGATCCTTTCCCAGCCAATGTTGTTTACCTGTCTGTCCCTTAAAGAGAAAGGAGACATGGGTCTTGTGTTTGAGTTACTCCCTCTCCAGCTGGAAACGTTGTGTAGTATATTCTTTATTGTATTTATTACAGAGCATGTGGTACCAGCTTGAGTATACCAAGACCACATCCTTGTATTGTTTTGTTTTTATGATTCATCATTTTCCCAATCATGGAGAATCAAATCTTTCTGAAATATCTTATTTTTGTAACAAAATTTCAGTCTCATCTTGTGTTCTGTACTATTTATTTTGTCATTAGAACTGTTAAAATTCATAGTAAGCGATTTGGTGTTCTTTCTACTTGTTAGCCAGTTTATTTGGGAAAATTATGGTTATCTCCTAAGTATTTCCATCATGCTTTTTTGAAACATACCATTTGGCTCTACACTGTTTGAGAAAATGAGTAATTGAAATCTGAACTGTATGCTGTTTTGATAGAAAGTATATTCAGGTTTTGTCTTCTGCTTGGGGAGGAATCAGGTTTCAGCTCGAATGGTCATGGTTCTCCCTCTGTGTTTTGTTTCTGGTAGGTTGTTCTACAAGCCTGCAGAGTAATCTTACAGGATGAAACCCTCCTGAATATATCCTAAGTATGTTGGCATGTATATGTTCTAGAGATACGTAGATTTACCAGTTAGAATATTTGTAATTTAGAGGATTTTCATTTCCTTATAGTTTGGATAGGATTTTTGAGTGTCAGTAAAGAAATGTCTGTCTTTATCTTCAACTGATTCTTTGCATTAGTGTAAGGAAACTATCCTTCTAAAGGTGTCTGGGAAAAAATCTCCTTTGATTCTTTAGTAGCTTGAAGGTGTCACTTAAATTCATCAGTTTTTTTATTTATGTATGTGCATACAAAGACTGAAGATCAATATGTTTGGGAAAGTTAAGAGCTACTAGAAAGGGGACAGTGGACAGTTATTCAAATTCAACATAATTGAGACTAGGGATGCAAACAACTGCTCTTAATTTTGATAGCTGTACCTAATTTTCTTCCAATGATTTGTGTAATTTCAAAAATGTGATTTTAAAGATGAAGCTTTCTATGGAGCTGTCAAAATTATATAGCTCACATTTCTGAAATAATCAAATTACATTTTCTTATACATAACTAGAGAGACCGAGGTGATTTTCGCATGCAGTATTGCGCTTAGCACAAAAACAAATGCTAATGTTACTATCAGTACAGGACCAAACTTTATCTGAGATCTGGGGTGTTGCCATGGCAATTCCAATTGTTGGAAAAAAATTCTCTTTTGTGCTTCATTCTGACATTATATTCCAAAATGATGATTATGAAGAAACATGCAACCCAAAAGGGGGGAAAAAATCTCTTCTTGAAGATGTAAAACATACTTTCTATTGCATTTACTTTTTCTGAAACACTGAGTGTGTGTCTGGATTGTTACGAGCTGTATTTTTTGCAGATTCAGATACATTGCTATTTCTCAAGCTGCCATAATAATACTCAATGTTATTTCTCCCAAATGTAATAATCAACATAATAAGGAACTTGGAGACACATATCCCATTTCCTATGCAAAATATGCATTTCTAGTATATTATACTGCTGATGTGGACCTTTTGCTTTCAGCAATACTGCCTGTGTTAGTTGAAGCATATCTAAAATACAGATCTTGCTTATGTTATTTATATATCAGCTATATAATCTATTTATAATAGAATAGCTCATAATAGCCAATAGATCAGTCATTCCTGTTTAGTTATAAAATTGTTTTTCTACCAGTACATCTTAGTGTGAGAAAATTGATATGGTTATTACCTGTTCCTTGCTGAATCAATATCCAACAAGCTTTAAATAAATAAATAATGACACCCTCCACCCCACCCCCCAAAAAACCACCAAACAACAAAACCACACAATACTTCCAAAAGAGAAACAAATGAAGGGGTACAGTTAAAATGTGGTTTGCACTGTAATTCATGCTGAAGTTTATTGTGCGTTCTTTTATGTACAAAATGTGTAAAATTAGAAACGTTTCCAGAAGAGAACTAATTCTTGCAGTGCTGCATTGCTGCTTTATAAATAAATCATTGTCCTTTCTCTATTGATCACTGGAACAATTCAGTCAAAGAATGCTGACTTAGTGCAGCCCTTCTCAGGACAGCTGGATTGAAAGAAAAAGCTGGGTAAGTGGGACCCAGTAGCAGGGAACAGGGGAAATCCCAGACTGGTTAGAGATCAGGTTTGGTGCATAAAATACAGCCCTTTATTTATCTTTTACCTTCAAAAAAACTTAATAAAGCAGCTGATTTCTACAAGATTTTCTGTCTGTTTTTCTTTATTTCCATAATGTCATTGATCAGGGAAAATTAAGTATGAGACAATACTAGTTGTAATTAGTGGATGCTGAAAATCTGTGTACAATGTATCATGATTTTTTTTCAAGCACACTAAAGAAGACCTTCCAAATTAATCCAGTCTTTTAATGAATGCAAATTATGATATTTATGTGTCAAGAAATAGGGCCTCAATTCTTCCAGGAATATATTTGAAGACTCTCAGAAATAGTTCTGCATTCCTGTGAATTGAGGTGGAATCTGAATTTTATTTGGTTATCTCAAACATCACAGTTTGCCAATCTGACAATTTGATGATGTCTGATTTGTCAGGATTGCTGATATCAGGCTTTTCTGGGAATAGGAGTAGCCTGTTCCTGTGAGGAGATGAGAAAAACTATCTGGGTTTGCATGTCTGACTGTTATGATCAGTATTGGATCTCAGAGGCATCTAATTTTTAAAACATGGCTTTCACTGAATGCTGTGGTAGGTGTCCCTTGCAAGGCTGTACACTCACAATGTTGTTATCCAGAACTTCCAAGTAGTTCTAGAACATAAAGTTCTTATTTTTCATAAAATAAGATTTACTGGTAGATGCATGGCTTAGCTGATGATGACAGGTTATTCAGGGCTGTGGTGATGCATTGCTTTTAGGGCATGTTGTCATCACAATTTTTTTCTGTTTCTCATTAATTACCAGTATTTCCAGGATGCAGGTCTGTAAAATGTAATTATTTATTCCACTGGGTGTTTTGTCTCTAGTACTGCAGTCAAAGGCAGCACATGCTGCTGTATTCTCACCCGTGTGCAGTTGGCTGGGTAATAGGAAGCAAAGTGACTTGCAAAAGACTTTCTTGACTCCCACAGAGGTATAGGGCATGGAGCAGAACAGCTCGATGTGTGGAACTGCAGACTTGAATGCACAGATTGATCTGAATTGCCTCAGTTGTGCACGGGGTGGCTGGGGGGGGGTTCTCTTCTCCCTGTGCTGCCAACAGGGTGCAGCTGTGGGGCAGCCAGGGCTGTATGACGGCATGGACCCACCAGGATCAGCTCCCTTCATGGATCCACTAGGATCAGCTCCCTGTTGAATGTGCAGTCGACAGAAAAGCTTCCCCTAACTTGAATGATAAACCTGGACCAAAAGGACTCCAGGGAGCAAATCTGGAGGTACAGAAAGAGACTAAACATGTCAATGTTGCTAACATGGCAGAAAGAACCTGGCACAGCCCTGGTTTTCACTGGACTGACAGCGACAGGCTTTTCCTTTCCTGTCCCAGTGTCCAAGTATCGGTCAGTTCATGCCTTCTGCTAGCATGCTGAAAGGCCTATAATTAACACGAACATAATAAACCATGAAGTATTTTGTTATGTGAAATAATGCGATCTATTAAAAAACCAAAAAGCCCGGTTGTGTTTGTTATTACTCATCTATTTGACCATCTCCCTCTTCCAGCTGGAGCAGAGCCTGACCACTGGCCACTAGATGCCACTGTTGTATAAGGACATGTTGAGCGTATGGCTTAGACAATAACTAATTTACTTAGAGAACATGTATGTGTATAATTAGGAGTCATCAATGTCTTTCTTTTAAAATAAAATAAGTTTACCATATCTAATTAGATATTTCTTATAAGATGGATTTCATTCTAATTGGGTAAAGCTATGCCACTGGTTTAAAAGACAGCAAAGGATGTATTTGTATTCACTTTCACAGTTTCTATATTTTTTTAGCCCTGGCAATAAATGGATCTGATTACACCTTTTAAATCGATGTTCTCTGAAACTGGTATGACATAAATGATTGTTCTGTCATTGTGAGTTTACTGCCATTGTTTTCAGTGTGTGAGGTTTTTTAGTGATATTTCTCTTAATCTCATTCTGTCTTTCCGTATCCTCCTGATTGTGATCTTGAATCTGCATGTTCTTTCCATCCAAACTGAAGTAATCTATTTAAAAAGCCAACAATTGCCACCATGCATGACTTTAGCTTGACCATGACAGCGCAGGCTTTCCAGAATCAGTGAGCTCATTAATCCCCAGCTAATGAACCAGAGCTCTAAAATGTCTGTTGTGCAGGGGGGTTCTTTAAAAGCTCATATTTCCTGTAACTAAGTGTTGCCAACAGAAAATCTAGATTTTTCAGATGTCGGACTATGTTCAGCCGTGGTAAAATTCAAATTCACTGCTTTTCTGTAGGGAAAATGAATGCCTTTAAGATTCTGAATGAATTCAGAAGGCACTGGCTAGTCGGTGTCACACCCAGCATGGGCAAGGTTTACACCCCTTCCCAAAGCAATTTCATTACTACCTGAATTCGCTTCACCAAGTGAGTTTGGATTTTTCTACTAAAATGCTGTGTCACATGCTAATGTAAAGTCTGTGTTCATTTTACAGTTCTTTCAGATCTGTGGCAGGTGGTCTTCCTCAGATCATCTCAGGTGATGCCAGGCTGGAACATCGACCACTTCCACCTTGTGAGTGTTCCCATCAGACCATTCCTACCTCTGTCCAACATGTGAGCCAACCCTAGCTGTATTTCCCAATTATGACTAGAACTTTTCTATTCAATCTGGATGGCATCTTTTAAATTACTTTAAATTATCTTCTGAAAAAAGCTACTCCTGCAACAAAACAAAGGCAAAGTCATTTTAGAATAGTTTTCAAATTGTGGTTCATAGCTGCATTACACCTCAGAAGTAGCTTGGCTATCTGTCACAGCGGGCACGGCTTCCTCTTCTATCCCCATACTCTATATACAAAATGATGGGTTATTATACAAAAGTTGTATCTCTGTCTTATTTATGGAACTGTTGGTTCCTAAATAAAGCATCTCAACGATGATTTGAGCTGGCTGAAAACCTGCTTGAAAATTATGTATTTCAGTAAAAGGTTTTACACAAACTCTATTTCTGAAGTTAAAGTACTTCAATTCCCAATGATAAAATTCATTAAAATATAAATTAACCTAAAGAAACAGATGAATCACAATGGTATATTTGCATATCATCTTTTTGGTGTGAATGTAGCAGTTTCTTCATGTAGACTAACAGCTACTGAAATCTTCACATCGTTGAGTAAATGACTGTGGGGTGAATGAGAAAGCAAAGAGGACAAGGACAAAAATTATTTTTGCTGAATGGGAAAGAATGCTGCAGAATTCTGCAGTTGGAATTAAAACCTATGTTAAACCAGTTTCCTCCACTACGATGTATCTCAGCTAATCAATTAGCATAGGAGGTTTATGACTATCTCAGCATTCTAATAATAGATGAGGATTTAAGGAAATATCATGTTTTGATTGTATTTTCAGAATTGTAGATAATTAGTGATTATTGCAATAAGGGTGAATATCATCTAAGAAATAAAGGTGAAGAGTGATCAGACTGGATGGAATGAGAATGTCTTATCTCAGGGGAGATAAATGATCCACCTGCAGTAAGACCTTTCCATCTGCAAAAGGCAGCAACAGAAATTTCTAATAAAGTTTGACCTGTTATTCTGTAAGTAATATATTCAAGACTCCAGTACAAAGTTATCTTGTCAGTTCTCTTAGTAAATGAAGCTGAACTGATACAGCAGCTTGTGCAGTTCCTCTGATCTGTACCTGTTCTCTGTATATGCCTTCATGGGTATTTCCGTGAATTACTGATGCACTTGGCCAGTGAGTTTTCTGTGACTTCAAAGCCAAGACTTTCACTTTGCCTTGTATAAAACATGCCCAGAAGCTGGGTACTGAAGAAAATAAGTAGGGAGAAAAATATTGATTTTAGGTGTTAGGATAATCTAAGAAAATTTTGTTTGTTTTTTCTTTAGATTTCTTGTTTGTTGCGAATACTTCCCAGGATATTCTTTTGTAGCAAATCAATTAGCTCCATATAAATGCAACTAATAACTGCAAATATGTCATTTGTAACATCCAGAAGGTGCTATGGCATGGAAGGAAATATTCTTAAGAGACACTATTCTACATCTGTCCAGTTTTCTAGGGGAAAGGATGAAGAACAGATTGGTTACTCTTCAAGAATGATGGTCATCAGGCTCATTGTTGGCTTTTTGAAAAGGCTTATGGTTGACATCATAGAGCACAAACTTGATTAGCTCTAATATAATTTTTAGCTTTTGTGATGCAACTCGGTCTGTCGTTGTGCATTGCTCTGACAATGTAGTGTTAGGGAGACAGTCAAAAGAACCAAACAGTCTCAGATTTATGCCCTTTTTAGAAATGACTAAGACATTTTGAATCCTATAGATCGGCAGACCTTTATACTTCTAAATCACCTAGAATATCTTTGAAAATATGACCTTTAATACAGTCATATCTTTCTAAACACTTCAAGGGTCATCCCAGCGTTTCCAGATAAATTTGGAGACAAATAAAATGAGGAACTGCGGAGCTCAGCCTTAACCTGAGAAAGAATAAATCACAAGATGTGGAAAAAAAAGAAAGTTCCATGACTACAGATTTTCAAACAATACAATTTTACTTTAATATCATACCCCACAAGTTCTTCAGTCACATGAGAACCTGAAGCGTGTAAGTAACCTGACTAAGTGTGACTATTGCTACTCTTTAGGAAAATGGTTCAATAACTCATTGACCTCCAATTGCTTAAACTTGTCTAAAATATCTTCCTTCTTCTACTTGATATGGTCAATTTTTTCATAAGTGGAAGAATTTTTAATATTCAACTTGGTAACATTTGAAATCAGCCTGAAATAGACAGTTTTATAAGAGTTTTATAAACTTCATTTAAACTGAATCCAAGGAAATGGGAAAAAAGTATTGCAGATGAGTAATTTTTAAGGGATTGGGAGGAAGAGACACCATTATGTAAAGGAATGTTTATTATCAAAGCATATAAATGGCTTTAGCTGACAGCAGAACAATAACTTCAAAATTTCACATATCGTTCTCAAATTTTAATAGAAAGGGAAGCTAGAAAAAGGAAGGTAGATTTATTCTATTCTGAAGATAAGAAAAGCTGGTGTAATTGTGGTTTTTAAATATATTTCAGGCATAACTTTTGATTTCAATGTTTTTAATTCTGATTCGCAGTAATAAAAACTAGGTGCAAATGAGTGCTGATGAGTCTGTATTGAAGTTAAAGGAATAGTTAAAAATGTCTATGAATATTCATTTAAATTCAGAAATTAACTCCAAATTGATCATACCTATGACTCTTTGGGAATTTGCTCTCTATGAGCATACAAGCACTTGAAATTAACTTTCATGAATATTTGCAAAAGCAAATTTTCAATTAGATATTTCAGATACTTGCAAGAAACAATTTTTCAAGGATATATTTAATTGTGAGATTTGGATTTCACATCATGCTGCCTGATATTAATGATCTGTTCAGTGGGACTGCATACCTGAAGGCCCTCAGGAAGGTTTTGGCTGGAGGGAACACTTTGGAGAACTTTTACCTTGTGAATTGCAGGATTCATCAAGAAGAAGAAACAAAGGAGATACAAGAAAATAAGAAACTGTGCAGATTTCAAATTTCCACTTGAGGAATTTTTTTTTTTTAATATATTGAACATTGTAATTCAGCGTGAAGTGAATCTTAGAGGCCAATTTCTCCTCACTTGTGCTGTCAGATGATCGCTATGTCCAAGCAGAATAATTTTAAGAAAGTGATTGGGGTTTTTTTAACCACTGAAGACAAAAATCCTGATAGAATGCAATGGCTGATAGTTTGGGATAAATTAGAAAAGTGGTATACATGCAATGACTGTCAGTGGAGCTCCAAAATGAGATGTCTAGTTTCAAATAGAAGCTGACTTCATGTAAGAAGTCCTAGATCTAATCAGATGTTTGTATAAAACTGTTCTCATGGTGTGTCCAGTTTAAGCATGACCTTGAGCCTGTTGTGACTTGCAGTAAGAACTGAAGCCAGAAAGAGTATTCTTACTAAGGAATATGACAGAAATGACAGTTTGGCAATCTTCCATATCGGAAGAACAGCCACCAGCAGGTGAGTTGAGAGGATGAGATGTGGCCAGCTTGGCACATGTACATTTGTATTCCTAGAAACAGGGACAAGAAGGAAGGATTCTTGACCCCTCCGTGAACTCAGTGGGATCAGTTCTGGCCTGAGCTCCGATGCACGGGGAAGCTGAGAGAGGTGCCCACAGGACCCCATGGGCTGGCCCAGAGAAGGTGAGCTCATCCACCTTGAATGGGGGAAAGAGGCTGCTCAGAGTGAATAGCCTGAACGAGGTTTGGACTGTATTTGGCAGCCCACTGTGCTGCTGATCTTGCAGGGGCTAGGTGAGGTCCTTATCCATAACTGCAGTCTAGAAATGTGCTTTTTAATTTTAGTTTTTATTTTGTGAGTTTATCCAGTGTGGTGTGCAAGAGTCTAACCACTTTTTTTGCTGGATTAAATGTGTCCTGATTTCATCTTTTATTTTGATAAGTGAGAGGCACATTCCCTATGGCTGAGTCAGGGCACTTTCTTACTGGTGGAGCAGAGAACTGTACACACTGGCACACAGGTATTCCCTCGGAGCAGAGAAGTGGTTTCCCACCTATTTACTGGAGTCAGCTTGAGGGCAAGTAACAGGCAGTGCTGGGTCAGTCTCCCTTGGCAGGCACAACCAGTCTCTAACAAGCAGCAGGCGAGGGGAAATTATTTATGATGCATACGGTACCATAAGAGGGTCATACAACTCAAAAGAAATTGAATCAGGTTTCTGAAACTGAGACAACTAAATTATTTAGCCAGAACAGTCTTTGTTTGCAAAGGTGCTGAGTACCTTGAATCCCACGTTCAAATATTCTGCAAGCTAAAATACTGTTTATTATAAGAAATTTGTGAGTAATTTAAAGCCAGGGATTATATGGGGAGTTTTCTAAGTGATTTGTAGATGATTTAAAAACAAGAAAAGAAGGGTGAATAAATTATTTTGTTACCTATTGCTTCTTCATCTCCAGTTTGGATAGTGAGGGAATCCAGCCCCCGTGGCTAGAAGGCATACATGCCAAGATTGGATTTCCTGTGTAAAAGCTATACAATGTGATAACACAGTTGTACTGCATATTCAGTTTTGATATGTAACCTTTTAAATAAATTGGAATACTCTTTGTGGCTGTACTGGCACACACAGGGAGATCATAAACAATAATTTTGTAAAGGTCACTTCCACACTAAGCGCTTGAGCTCATGGCAAGAGCAGCATAGGGCTATTAAAGGACCTTTATGCTTCTATGTTTTGGTGTCTGTTAATATTTTTGCAGCTTTGAAGCTCTGTTTAACATAAAGGCTCTGTAGTCTCTCAGGCCATGGGTTTGCCCGTGCAGCCGTTGCCGTGGGGCCCTGGGCTGCCTTGCTGTGCTGCAGGGCTGGCAGCGAGTGCCCCCGCTGGCTGTCGGAGCCAGGGGTTACTGGCGGAGGTAGCGCGATGCAGAATGCCCGAGGCTGGCAGCATTCCTCCTGCTGCGAATGAGGGGCAACACAGCACGATCCAGACTGTGGAGGCTGCTGACCTGTTGTGTCAGGAGCATCTCAAAAGAACCAGGTATCAAGAATCTGGGCAATACATGAGGGCCAGCAGTGGCTGAGGAACTTGCACAAAGTGAGAGGTACCAGATGCTTGCCAAGCTCAGTCCAGCTGCGTAGCACACTGCTCAGATTTTCCTGCTGCTTCCTTCCAAGGTGCTAATGAAGTTGTTTGAATCATTTTATTTTGGTCCAGTGGAAAACTTGTTCTCTTGCTCTTGTGTGTCTCCAGCAAAATACTTTGTCTCAGAGTAAATTTTTGGAAGCTCATAGTCCATCCAACCAACATTAAAAACCACGTATATCTACTGGTCTTTAGAAACAAAGGCACATTTTGTTACAAACTCCCGTTATGTTATAGGATGTTTTTCTTTCTTGTGATTGACAAGATAGCCTTAATCAATATCCTTTTATTTCCAGACCTCTATTATTTTGAAGAAATCCGCATCTGTCTTGATGACAGTGTAGGGGAAGTTATTTCACCAATGTAGTGGCATCAGAGGACACTCTCAGCAAGGTAAGTGGAGTCTGTCTGGTGTCATTAAAATAGCCCCTAGCCTTTGGATATCTGTGGTATCTGGGGGCTTCTGACCTTCAGGAGAGTTGAGCAGGAGGCTGAGGTGGTAGGTTTTAACTCCTAGATGTTTTCTCTCCAGTGCTGCTGGTGGTGTAAAGTCACTGTGGCTCACAGGAAGAACAGAATGTTAGTAAGGATGTTGGCAGTGTGCAGAGGTGTTGTAACTAGCGAACACCACAGTGTGCTTAGAGAAAGGATGCTTAATGTTGCAGACATGGCCTCTCTAGCACAGAGAGGTGCTGCCTACCACAGGAGGTGGCTTGTCCATGTGCTCACAGGGACACTCCCATACCTGCTCTGCTGCAGTTGGAACTGTCCCCATCACACACGTAGCACTGTGCAGAGCTGGGCCAGAGCTGGGGTGACAACCCAGGTACCCCCCAGGTACTGGGGCATGCTGCTGGCATCCATGCTGTTGTGGTGTTTATTCAATACCTAGGAATTTTATTAAAAACTACTTTGCTTCTCTCTCTGTGAAAAGTCCTCAAATGGATGATTCAAAGCTTTGATTTTCTCTTCTGTTGAAGACCCATGCCTAGCACCTGTCTGTGATCTTGGGGAGGTTACCTGAACTCAACAACAGAGAGATGTCACCCTGAAAGTTTAAATTACCCATGTGTCTTATCCTGTAAAATCTCTTCACTATTTCTGTGGGCAAGATGGTAATAATCCATATTTCCCAAATTTAAAGTGTCAGTGACAGTTTGTTGCTAGCCCCTCCGGCATTAGCATGGACAATCATATTAATACTTTGTCTATTTTATGAGATTCTTAATAACTCACCTAAATTTTAACGCATTCACTTGACAGAATTTTAAGGAAGGTCATAACATTATAAAAGTATGTATTTGTACTTGTTCCACATCACTCCACAGACTGTAACTATTTTTTTCCTCAAGCTGATGCATTGTAGCTAATAATTTTACTCCTTTAGCAGCATTTGTCTGACCTTCCCTACCTTCCCCTGTTTCCTGAATCAAAAAGAATTTTTGATAAGATACTATATAATCTTCCCAGAAAAGGGATAGGACTTCAGTCTCATAATAAGGAAGAAAATATGTAATTTCTCTTGTGATTGATAAGCATAATTTGTAAATGAACCTGCTTTATGAAATGGTGAAAAATGGTTGGAGCAGTTAAAAAATGACTTGAATATAGAGAAAATAGATTCCCATAAGAAAGAATATAAATTTGTAAATGCAGAATACAAAATTATTTTTAGACATTAAATTAACAAATTAGTTTGGCTGACATTACCTTCAATTTACATAGAAACCATCTTTCACATTTTCCATGTAGACCATTTTCTATGTTCTGCTGTGACTGAGGGAAAAACAAAGCACATGAGTCCTTTAAGGCAAGAGGAAAACATCCCGAAAGTCATTTTAACTGATTCCAAGAGTTTTGCAGCGGGCACAGATTCAGGGAATGACAAAGGCATGCAGAGAGGGAGGCAGCGATGCCAGGGAAACAGCTGGTGTCTGAAAAGCCCAGTTTGCCGTCCCATCCCTGTTACTGCTCTGCGTGGAGGCTGGGGCGGAGCCGGTCGCTGATCAGGCCGGGCTCTAGCACGGATACTGCGGTGCAGATGCTGGTCTAAAACTCATGGCTTGTGAGGCCCCAGCCAGCTGGGATCGAGTACAGCAAAACCAGATCCTAACTACACACGACCATGGAGAGTTGGAAAACCAGTTCCTTGCTTGGCCACATGGACTCATTGGAAATGACTGCATTAAGGAAAAGTCTCTGAGGTGGACTTCTTTCCGTTCTGCTCACACATTGCTCCTAGACTATGTGGACACATGCTGGCCCATCTCTGTGTTTCTGGCTCTTCTATCACAAGACTGAAGCAAATTTTCAATTTGTTGCTCACTGTTTCTCTAATTCCTTCTGAACACCCCAAAGCTGAACAGCTGGTGAAAGCTAAAAGTATGTCTTTAAGGCACCTACCAGCGCTACAAACAATCCACAGCATGGTTAGATTATGTCATAACAGTGTCCAGAGTGTTTCTTGTGCAGGAAGACCTAGGTGAACACCTAGGTAGGTGCAGCTAATTTGCACAAGCAGAGTCCAGCTCTTGAGCCCCACTGAATGTCTGGGAACAGCCATAGGTTGGTTTAGAGGCCAGGGGTAGTGACTATCTGATTCTTCCTCTTCCCTCCGCATCCTTCCCCATCTTCTTGGTGAGGAGAGTAAGAAACACCCATTTACTCTTCCTAGATCAAACTGTAACTAGTCCATAATGAGACATGCCAGTATCCTTTCTTCCTACTCAGGCACATAAAACACTCAGCAAGTTTTTCCAGGCGCAAAAACTCACTGAGTTGAGCCTTGCATGGTGACGCTGCGTGACCAAAAGCAAAGTGCAAATATGTCTAAAATTCAGGACTTCAATTTAATTCACTATTGTCAGGACATTTCAGACACAGGATGGAGAATGATACATGAATCCAAAACACGATGTATGTATAAAAAGTCTAGTAAATATTTCCGATTTCTTCCACAAGCATTTTTTTCAAGAAAAAAACAACTCTGCTATTGTGTTCTGACATTGAAGCTCAGTAGCAAACTGTGTGAAATCAACCATTCACATTAACTGTGGCCAGGTGAAGGAAACGCCACGGTGAAGATATTAGGAAGAGAGAAGCAGAAAATTAGGTTGCCCATTCTCCTTTCTCTCATTTCTTGCACAATTTGGCAGAGAGTTCAGGAAGGGGCTTTTCGCCTCTTCAGGGAGAGACATAAACTTGGACCACACATTCTCAAACACTGCCAGCTTGTCATTCAGCTCATGCATTCAAGATGTTGCATATTAATAGCACTCCCTGATGGCTGGTGGATAGGGTCTCTCCACCTATAAAAAATAAGCCTCTTGGCACAACAAAGTACAAAAGAGGCCCATACAGGGAAAAAAAATGCACTTGAGAACTGGTTTGGAGAAACTCTGCACAGATGCTCATGTGCAGATGCATATTTCAGATTTTTTTTCCTGATTAGCATGCAGCAAACTCACCTGTTTTGCTGCCTAGAGGAGTCACAGCAGACATGGAGAAACACCTGTGTGAGTTCAGTTCTGTCTCCCTGTGAATATGATTTTCACAGCAACCTTTTTCAATTGCCCTTGCGTGTAGCCACTGTTACGCTTTTCAGTCACCTTCTTGGACATGCCTAAGCCATCAAACACAGAATAGTACTTCAGGATGAAAACAAAGCATGAACAGTGCAGGCAGCTGTGTGTTGAGAAGGGAAGAAGGGAATGGGTGGGTGGACTGGTCCCACTACCCTTACTGTACAGGTGCTTTGGGGGAGCATTGGGAATGCTCAGGCCAAATGGGTTCTGGCATGGCTGAGATAGGAGGATGAGCTTACAGGACCTGGACAAGAACCTAGCATTTGTGATCTGCAAATGATCTGACACTTGGCACGTATGTAGCTTTACCTGAGGTCTGGTCGTGGGATCCAAGAAAATGAACCAGGCTGCTTCCCCCCATCCCCTGCAGTGTGCTGGTTACACGTGTCTGCTCTTAATTCTCACACTGAGCTCTACAGACAAATCCTACATATACATGGGGAATAAACTTCCTTTCTACCCTACTCCATTGTAGTTTACTCCAACGGCAGGAGGCACAGCTCAGTTCTAACCGTGTGTTTTGTAAAAATGAGCCTCAGCAGGAGAAGGTGGAGGGAGGGTTGCTTATACATGTGTTGGTATCTGATGCAATCCTCAGCATGAGCCACGTTTTTCTGGATATTTCAGCATATACTGAGAATGACACATGAGCAGTCAAAGCTATTTTTGGAACTGACAGTTTTCCTTCTCGCTCCAACAATTGCTTCTTCAATACACTAGAATATGCAAAGTGCTTCAATAAAGTTTTAATTAGGAGTAGGAGTAACAGTGAAACTAAGGGAAAACTTTAGGCAAAATGAGAAGTGACTTCAGCTTATACCTGTTTTGCAGGTTTGTTGTTAACTTTTCAAAAGAAGCTGCACATTTTGGAATGTATTGGTTTCTGGCAAGGATTTCTAGAAGGAATCCTTTTCAGGAGTCCTGAAACAGCCGAAGAAAGATTGTTTCTATGATGTTCTGACCCAGGAAAGACCCAGCAGAAATCTGCTCTGATGGGAATCATGGGCTAAAGCAATCTGGATATATTTTGATCTGAGCTCTCAGGTACTTCTCTAAACCAAAATATTCAAAAGGTTTGAGATTTTTAAAAAGCTTAAAATCTTCTCAGATCCTTACAAGAGAGAACAGATTACAAGCAGAAGTTTCCAGATAAATCTGAGATGGATTTTACTGTGGTGGCTCTTTCATACTCTTTGACTGAAGTCTGCTGATTGATACCAATAACACAAATACCTGATGGAAGGGGTCTCGACTTTTTCTTAAGATGTCCAAATCAATTAGGTGTCTGAGGCATGGTGGTGTATTTCCTAGGAACTTAACTTCTCTCTGTTACCTCCTGACAGAAGTAACCAATCTCTTTGGAGCTTGCAAAGGAAGGTGCATCCCACAGAGCTAGTGTTATGTGCACCACTTGTAGACAGGTATATTTAAAAAAAGATGCATTCTGGATGCACTCCAAATATCATCACTATTGTTTAATTTCAACTCCAGTCCTGCATCTGTTTAAGATAGTGTCAAAGATAATAATCTCACCCGACGGATACAAAATACAAAACAAATTACATTACTCAATTATTTTGTTTACTAGTGGTGTTAAACTACTGTATTTCTCTGAATCATGCAGAAGAGCTATGATTTTTTACCTTCAAACTCCTCTGAAAATGCAGCCATTTAGCATCAGTACCTATTTCTTTCCAGATTACGTTACATGAATGAGTTTGATAGGAGTCACCATGGTGAGGAAAGGATAATGGAATTTCAGGTAAGAGTTCTTCATAACGAATTCATTCCTTACACCATGTTAACACCCACCCATGGAATTAAGGACCTTTGTAACACAATGCAACAATTTACTAGACATCACAAAACACCAATTATAGAATTGGACTGAAATAGGCTGCCAAATACTCTGTTCCTGATAAAAGAAGGTAGGTATAGTCATGCCAGCACATTTTAACTCCTTCCTAAAAATTCACTTGGGTCCATTGTCTACTTCCTTGGTGATACAGAATTAAATTGACTACCATGCTATGTATGACATGAAATGTAAAATAAAATAAAATAAAATAAAAAAAGGACTAGGTCATGAACAGCAGTGAACGTGAACTCAGTTTGGATCATATTTATTTAAATAATCATAGCAGATTGTTAACGGTGAGAATCTCCTGATTTTTGCAAGGAAAAATGATAGAATGTTAGCTTCTATACTGTATATTTAGCTTGATAAAAGGAAGCCAGCCTGTATGGAAGAAGCATGCAACTGAGGTTCCTCAGCTGATATATATAAAAGGACAATTATATGTCAGTACTTTACAAAGAACTCTTAAATCCTTAGACTGAATCTTGTCTGTTTTTGCTGGTAGGAGAGTACCAAACTGTAAGCAGAACTGAGCAGGATCTGACTTTCCATCACAGACAGTTAATAATTAAATCAAACATTATATTCAACAATAGAACATATGCATCAGCTTCTTTCAAATTGCATTTCCTTCCTGTTAGATCCATTAGTGTAAACCAGACTGCCTTTAGAAAACCCCTTATTGCTGCTGTCTTTCAGCACAGTTCCTGAAATGGATAATGTGGTGCGTATTATGGGCAATTACACAGAACTCCCTAGTGACAGGGTTTTAGAGTTTCAGAATAAAACAGCTGGAACTACAGGGCTGTAAACTAATCAGAAAAAGAGACAATAGTAAGAAATTTAATGCACGTTGTTAGAACATGGACAAAGACTACACATTAAATACTACATATCACTATACTTACTGTATTGCACACCATTTTCACTGCAAAATCCTGGTTAACCCTTGAAGGACAAGGCAGTCAAAACCCAAAGATATTGCCATGAAAAAATGCATGCATGGCTGTATAACCTAAGCTAACTGGAAACATTAAAGGAAGAAGCCTTGAGCCAGAGTCCTGGTTTTTGCTTAATGTCAGTTGAGTTTGAATCAAATAGAGAACTCTATTCAAAAATGATAATTTATTAACAAATGCATAATGAATACATATCTAAATATGCTAAGAAACTATGTCTTCATCCCTCTTTTACTGTTTTAAAACACTGAAAATTTAGCATTTGGGTTGCAAAAATTGCATTTGCTCTTGGATATATCAAGACTACTGCCACAATGCATAGTATTTGATCCTGCATCAGTTTAAATTGATGGCAAAGCTCCCATTAATTTTAGTAATACAGCAGCGAATTTTTAGAATAGCACATGCATCATTTGAAAGCACAATGACCATGATTACATGTGTAATCACAGTAATTGTGCACACAATTACTGGTTGTGTATCTAACTGCCTTTCAAAAATCAGTTGCTCTACTTGCATGTGTACTCACAGCAGTCACTTGTTCGAACACAGTGCAGCCCAGAGCATCCCCACCTCCGTGCTCACCACAGAAATGCTACAGAGCAGGGCTGTGTCTGTGGCACTAGGTCTGTGCGACAGAGAAGCTTGTGCTTATGTCGCAGTGTTCTGAACAATAAATAAGAAAGGAAGAGAAACGATTGCAGTGTCTTTTTGGGAAAGTAAAAATGTGAAATTACTTCAACTAATTTTTCAAAAGGACAGAGACTGATTTTCACCAGCTCCTGTCTTGTGAGCCTTCTTATCAGCCGGGTCCAGCAGGCATTGGCACATTAGTGTTTTCTAATGCTGTGGCAAATTGATCAAATAATGTATTGAATAACAGCACCATAATAGAATAAAATAAAAAATAAAAAATAAAATGAAACAAAACAACACTGAGTAAGATTTTACAGCCTAAAAAAAGTCAGAAAACGGTTAAAATTTCAACATAGTGTGCAGTGAGTTTCTTACAGTGCAGAACCCAAGAACCAGCTGCTGTGGCTTACTCTAGTTTAAAAGGTGACTCCTTTTGCTCAGAAGGCTGATTTTTATAGCTGCAGAGGTGTAGAAAAGCACATCCTCCTTGGATAGTCATAAGACACGGATATCCATTCTTATGCTCAGCAAAATGGTAGCAGGAGAAAATCTGACACAAACCATTTTATTCATTTGTCCCTCAGTCCTGGCCTCCCTCTTCCCCTGTAGCACAATGAGTATGCTTTGCTTTTCTGGCAACAGCTTTATGACCCCACAATCAAGGGGATGGAGGGGCTGGGCAGGCTGGGCAGGCTGGGCCTGGCTGCCTGGCATGTGCTTCTCCCGAGGGGTCTGTGCAGGGAAGGTTGGGCCATGAGAGAAAGCAGATGTCAGTTAACAGCTAGAAAACACCCTCCTCCTGGGGAGAAATGGGCCCTTTTCCAAGGGATGGCAGCGCTGGGGTTGTGTTAGGGCAAGAAGTAGCACAGCCTCTCCAGGAGCCACCCTTGCTGTGCAGTGACAGCTGAAGGCACTCGCTCCAAGGGACTGGAACAGGACAGATCCCACAGCTCATGAGCATGGGCTCCCCAGCAGCCCTGATGTGAAATGTAGCTGTCTTCCCATATGGGAGAATCCAAAAAAATTACTATGAATGACAAATGAACTTTTTCCGAGGCTGCCTATCACTGGGGGAGGGTGGCTGGGCTGGGATAGTCCCTTTCAGGCAGAAGAGGGAACAGTGTTCACATGCTTGAAAAATGTTTGTTCTGCTACTGGAAAGCTTCAGCACCTTTCCTCTCATCAGCACCAGCTTGTGGCTGAGCTCAAGGCTGGGGAGCATTGCACTGTTTGCATGGCTGTACTCCCTGGTTTCTCAGGGCCCATGGCTGCATTGACTTGACATGTTTGGAAGATAGCTTTATGTAAGTTAATTCAGATGCTGTGTCCTGTTGCCTCTGCAAAAATAACTGTTAAATAGTTTTTTAAAACTTTATTGTAGCACTTGATTCCCGTCTTGATTTTCTACAACCATCCAGCTGATCACTGCAGCAGATTTTGTTCTTAATTTCATTACAGTAAATGAGAAGTAACCTCTGCAAAGTCCAATCAGAGGGAATTTCAGCTCTTTATATTGCCTTGTGTCTGCAGTCTTGTACACTGGAGCTGTGCAAGTGAACTAAATTCAGTACAGAGCATTAAACGCTGTCTCTTTTGTAATTATCATCAGAGAGCTGTATGAAGTCTTGAAGCTATGAAATCCTGCAAGTCCTGTCGAAAATGTTTCTTTATACAGATCTTAACTGTTATTCAAAGGAATTCACCCTAAAAGATTGAGAACTGCTGGGACATGAAGAACATAAAGCTCTAAGACTGTATGTTGGAGAAAAGTTCCCTCAGAAGCGTGTGTTTAGACACCTTTGGTGACACTTACTGCCTTGCCTGCCATGCCTGCAAGTGTGGCCTCACTTTCACTGTTATTGCAACATGTGTCAAGTGAAATGAAAACAGAAATTTGGGAAAGGATATAATTAACCTACTTGTAAACATTAACCTTAAATATCTACCTAATTATCTCACTAATTTAATCACTGCATATCTCAAACTTGTTTGTTAAATATTTAATTCTGCAAATTGTTTTTGATACAGAGGTGTGGGGAGCTTTCTGTGAATGTAAGTTACTCTGCAAAACTCTTTGCAAGATCATTGTTATGTTCGCACTTCATTGAACAAACCCTGCTGTCAACAAGACTTTTAATGGAAATCACAAGAAACTATGCCCTGAGGCTAAGAGATATCGTGCCCTATTATTTTAAAATCTAATGAACACATTGTGCAGAATGTAGACGGGGGTAAATTTCTTCCTGCGTATCTTCAGGTTTGATTCCATGGGAGTCTAGAGTGGAAAGTTCTGGGTTTCCTTGTTTTTTAGGTTGCAGTGCAGCTGTACAGTTGTTTCTTACCTATTCACCTTTTTACTACTTGGGGGACTCAGCAAAATGCTGTCCTTGATCTTCAGCCCTTTTTATCAAGTCAGTACCTCGTGCTAAAAGTAATCTAAAAGGTGTTTAGATGCTGCAGTTACAATGCCACTCAAAGTGGCTCTAATTATTCCTGAGAGGAAAGTTTTGAATTGGGAGTGTTTGTTGAGAAGATGAAAGCTCCATGTTTGTTCCTTCCTCCCCGATGGGAAGTGGGCTGTGCTCACACTGCCTCCTGCAAGCACACACGAGGCCCAGCTGAGCACTGCAAGGAGGGCCTTGGGGGTGCCTCCAGCTGCTGGGGCTGGGAGAAGAAACAGCCAGACTGTGGGTGCTGAGGAAAATCCCAGATGGAGTGGACAGCTAACCCAGGACAAGCTCTGGAGGCACCTGAATCCTCTGTTCCGTGAGAAGGTAGGGGCTCTCAGCTGTGCAGTGCCTCCTCTCCCTCTATCACTCCCCAGGGGCTTCAGCCAGCCCTACATTTCAGGCTGTACCCACATGGCAGTTCTGCAATGCTATTTTCTTCATTTTTGTTATATAAGTCTCCTTAATTGAGGAAGGTGAAAGATTGGGACTAACATTGTGTTTCTGCGCTGTAGTTCTCACCATCAGATGAAGGTGCAAAGCTGTACTAAATCCAGATGATGGCTCACAGCAGACCTCTGACAGGACCCATGTGATTAGTTAGATGTCCATATAAATACCTATTTGCACTATATTACTACCTTATCATATATTATTTGGAATTTCATCCTGATTGTCTGTATTTATTACATACAATTAATAAATTTATTTATTACATACAATTCATATATTTATTATACACAATTCATACATTTGTTACACACAATTCATTTATTACATCCGCAATTCATACTGTTTAGTTCAATAAGAAACAAATTTCTGTGAATTTGGCTGAATAAAGCTGTGTTTGTTCTTGTTAGTTATCCAAAGTCTCGTTCTTTCTATGCATTATCTCAATTTCTGGGCATTTTTCCCCTTCATTTACTCCAAAAATTACTTCAATACTAATGAAAACTGAACGACAGCCAAGACAGGGTGAACTTTTGGACAATTTATGCAAACATGACAGATGAGAATAGATTTACTATAAACATGCCAGGCACAAAAGACTTGACTGCTTTTTAAATACAGTGATACTGGAAGAGATTTATGGATATTTTCAACTGTTCATTAAAGAGAAAGATATTTTGAAACTATAGGCACTATCCTTTTATCCATTTTTGCCTTCCAGGCTGAGTTGCAAACCTTTGATGTTTTCTTCACCAAAAAATAAAAGTAGTTATGAATTTATTTCTCCCAAGCACTTCCATTTTTGTGTCAATTTACAGTTTTTATTACATTTCTGGCTGTCCAAATTATGGTGTTTGGAGAGCATCTAGAGTCCACAGCTCTGAGTTTTCTGAAAATAGGGATGAAGTTCACTTAATGATGCTTTCTGGCCACTGTCTTTTTTCTTCTCCTTTGTAATAAAAGGTTAATAAAATCTATGAATACTTTAACTGCCTGCTAGACCAACCAACCAATAAAAGGTTATTCTGATCTAAATTACTGGAAGCCTCTTGAACTGAGAAAGCTAACATGCAGTAACTAGTACCTTCTGGATCAGATTAATAAAATGCAAAGTCTTAGAGATGAAAATCATGTCTAAATATGGTCCCTGTAGTTGTCCAAGGCATCAATTCCTAGAGCCAGATAGGCATATACTTAACTGTATATTCTCAGAATCTGCTTCTGTGTTCTTAAAAATCAATAGTAAGCCTTGCTTTCAACTTCAGTGCAACTGAGGTTGTTGGCAGTCGATGATTTTGCAAGATCAGTTCAAGATATTGGAATAGTTTCATGGAATTATTGGATTCTTTCTTTCTAAAATAGCGTTAAACTCATATAAGTAGTAAGAATTTAAATGCGAAAATATATACTCTTGCCTTGCTTCTTAAAAACAATGTATCTTGCCAAATCTCTCCTATCAAGTCAAAACAGTGCACCAAAATGATAGCAGGAAGAATTGTGCAGTGCTTGAAAAATCTAATCCTGCATACTCACAGTGCTGACTATGTCCTCATTCTTTGAAAAGATGGAGAAAGAGCAGATTTGGATGGAAAATAACAGTTTTCATCGCAACCTTAGAAAGATATTGACAATTTTATAGCAGAATCATTTGAGCATTCTGAGAGCCTTCAAAAAAAAGGCAGAAACCTTAATAAATGCTTCATTTTGAAAAAATGGATAGCTGAAAAAATTTTAACAATTTTTACTGGACTTGCATTTCCAGCTTTTTAAAATTAATTTAAGAGCCACAAACCAACACGCATTTATGAATAACGTAATGAAGTTGGAGATAATGCAAATGTCTTTATAAATAACATGGTATATCTTAAATCATTATTTTTAATGCTTCTTGGTTTTTTTTTTCCCCTATAAGAACAGGTCTGTGCTGGTCTGCATTAATTAAATCTAGGTAGGATTCTAAGGCCAGATCATCATTACTTCTGTGTCGCTGATTTAAATCTGCAGTAAAACATTTCTCCATTTAGTTTGGTGCTTTTGTGTCATATTTCATACACTAGTTGTCTCTTAATTAAATCCATGATGGCCCACCAACACAGACTATTAAAATAACTATACTTTGCACTTGACATATTTATGAGACAGATTCATAAGAGTATAGACTGATACTTGAACTACTCACTGAGAAATGCTAATAAGATTATGATGAAGGTAAGATTAGAACATTCGTCTCCCTTTTTGCTTCTCTCTTCTTTTTAGAAATTTATTTTTATAACTGCAATTCACTATTTCTATTCCAGGCTCTTTGATGTTGTTGTATATACCAACAGTTCTTTCTCTGTGGATTTATTGTGGCAATGAAGAGTGGGAAACTGCTAATTTATATCACATCAGTAAAGTACATAACTATTGTGTTCCTTGAATTATGAATGTTTGCAGATGTCTGTAAAACCTTTGCATGGGATTGACAAGTGCAAGATAATACCTTTGGAATTGGGTGATGAAAAATATGGATTATCATGAAGTGCCACACTGTTTTTCCTTTACTGCCTTACTCCTTCAGAGCTCCTGTAGGTGTAGGGCCAGCTGAGCCTGTTCCTCTGTGAGGGAGGAGGCAGTGGCATTGTGCCTGTGACCCCTCACTGCATGTTGTGCCAGGCAGGATGTGGCCTTGGTTCCCCAGCTCCATGTTTGAGAAAAACATTGCTGAAAGAGCAGCTAAATGAAAATCTTCAAGGATTTCTATAATTTTTCAGGACCAAGATGTTCACCTGTGAGGGACCTTTCCTCTCTCTCCCTTTTTTCCCATTCACATTCTTTCACAGAAGGGCTCCCACTCATGACTGTGTCAGGGGTCCAGGTGTGGGCACAAATGGGGAGCAGCTTGGAGGGTATTCATTTTTCAAGTGGGGTATACAGAAACCCATAGCTACATGGTGTTCAGATTCTTCTGAGGGTAATACATCCCTGTGCTTCATTCTGGTATTCTCCATGAAAGTGGCAAAAACATCAAATGTTGGGATTTGATGTAGAGATAAATACAATAGTAGAAAGTAAGAATAATAAAGATATATTAAATATTTCATCCTCTACAGAAATAAACCAGCTACAGTTCAGGGAGCTTCACTAAACACATTAAGTCTAATAAAATCGCCCACACGTACTCCTGACACTAGTAGTAATTAAAATAACTTGTTTCGAAAAACTGGTCCTATACATGAATACTTATTGGCAATTATTTCTAAGTTCTTCAAACCAAAGATAAAGTAATTTGATTCACACACAATGTTCTTGTAAACGTCGTTCATACTGGGTTTTATATGCAGCTTAGGACTGTTAATTGCCATTTTGAGCCTCACAGTAAAATAGAGTTCAATATGTCGCTTTTTCTAAAGTATTGAGAAATGTTTGAGAAATGCTTGTCTTAGTCTAATCAACTGTGAATAATTTATTTCTTAGTCCTACTTTTCAGTATAAATGGATCTGACTTTTCTCCGAGCTTCTCAAGTCTAATCAACTTGTTACATTCATTTAATTAAGGAAATCTGTAACGAACTGTGAAATGTATGTACCAACAGGCTTTTTTGTTGTGTAAAATTGGCATATCTTCATTGTGAATGTGATTGTGACTGTTTATACTGACAGGTAGCCTCTACTAAACAAATAAATTTTTTTTTCTACACAGATAGGTCAATATGAATAGCATATAAGCTCTTTTCTGAACCACCTCTCTCCTGTTGGACCCACCACCCAGCTTCCCCAATTCACACAGTTGTAGCTTTCAGGCAATTCTCATTTCTGAGACAGAAGTGTTCTTCCATGCCTCAAACTGGAGGAGGATGTAGTAGAGATGTGACATATAAGAGTGTGGATAAGAGACTTTTTAGTCACAGTCAGCCTGAAAAAGATCATCACAGTAGAATATTAAAACACTGGCACAAGCTTATGGTCAGGATCTGCACGCCACACAGTTACCCACAAAGGGGTGATCTCAGGCACTGAGTAAAAGTCCTGTCTGTGTTTTCTAGCCTGACATAATTTGTTCTCATTTCTCTGAGAAATCAGCATCATAGGAAGGGTAAAAGAAAGGGCTCTTACATCACATATTTTTTTTTTTTAGAAAGACTCTATTTGTTAAAAGATGTTCAGAAGTCCATCATTTCTCCCATATTCCTGTGATTTGAGAAATTTTTTTATTAAAAATAAAGAGAGATGCTGTGGGGATTGACATTATTTTTTTTCTCCTTGTGCTCAGACAAATTCTTCAGACTCAGAGAAAAAGTCCTCAACCCTGGTCTAAAATACTGTCTAGTGCTTATGGGTTATAATATGAAAATCATCAAAACTCTCCTTGACAGGATGTTTCTTTCCATTAGTTGATTAAAATGGTTTATTGTTGCCTACAGCATCATTACTTTAAATGTATTTTTTTACAAAGAGCAGATGGGCCACTGTTTCTCTTCGTGTGGTTTCTGATAAATAGGGAAGTGAAATTACTATCATGGCAGATCCCTCCCATGGAATTTCAGAAAGGGAGAGGGAAAGGTGAGGGGCTCAGTGATGGGGCTGGAGTACCTGCTGAGTTGGGAGTGCAGGGGAGGGCAGCGGTGGCAGCACTCGGGCACAGGGGTACAATGGCACTGGAAAGAGTTGGAGGCAAAGCATGCAAACCTGCAAGCACCAAGTGCTCAGAGTAGGAAAAAACCTGGCCAAAATCTGGAATTATCTGCCTGGTAATCCTGTATGTCTGCTCTGACAAAGCAAGAAGAGGGTCTTCACATTTTTTCAGATGGAGAACTAAAAGTTTCAGTCAGAACGTGGAAGTGGAGAGCAGCTGATCCTAAAACACTAAATAAGGTTACATCAGTATAAAATCTTATCCATCTGCTGCTGTGACAAAGAAAACTGAAAAGTCTAAGTCTTCAGGATGCACATTATACATGTTTGATGGGGGAGCTGAAATCTCAATACTATTTCCAAATCTAGGGGTCATTTCAAGCAATACTTATAGTACGAATACCTTTCCATCCCCCAGCACAATTTTTCTAAGGCATATTGTCATCTAATGATAATGGAGTCTTTCATTAGTGAATCACAAGTTATTGGGCATGTGACCTTATGTTCAATAAATATTTATTTGAGAGTTATAGGTTAATTAATTTCCATTGTTTCTGTTTTAATTCTATACATGCTTATACTATACAATTAGAGAAAAACACAGAGAACCACGAGTAAATGTTGCTCATACAAAATGTTTCTATTACCCCTTACTTTTAAAACCATTAATAGATTATTAGGAGATACAAACATAGGAGGCCATGGATCATATTTGCATGTTAATGAATTCATGAATTATACATTATTTGCTATGGAGAGTACTAGAAACAATATTCTTCCTTTCTAATAGCTATAAAAGCTAGCAGTTTCCTGGAGCACACATCACATTCCCTCTGCAATACCTTCTAATAGAAAGAAAGAAATCCAGCTCTTCAAAGCAATCTCTCACTAAATGAAATAGATTTGTTTGTGTTGCTTTGCAACACACAAGTGTGACAGTTCATTTTAAACAAAATAGTTTTAATAATGTCATTACTAATATCTATTTGGTCATCTCTCTGAAAAATGTTGTTTTAATAGGAATGTTTCATTTTAATAAATGGCAGAAGGGGCAAGCTGCCCTGAGTCAGCAGGAAGTGGATATACACCAGAGAACAGGCTGATTGTGTTAGATTCATCCAGAACATTGAACAGCACACAGACAGTCCAAGAAAAAGCAACTGGCTGTATTC